TTGTGTCTTGCACTTCGTCTGCACCTCATACTTTGGGCTCCTTTTGCGTACACCTGGTATTTGTGTCTTGCACTTCGTCTGCACCTCATACCTAGGTGTTACTCTTATTCTCCCTTCCTATAACAACAGCCTTTCGACACCCACAGCTAACCCGGAGTGTCAGCCGAGCGTGGTGACTGCTGTACGACAACACGCACGTGAATACCTAGACAGAAGGCACCACATCATCCTCATCTTCATCTTCGTACACATTACATAGTTATACATTTACACTTTTACCTTTTTCATTTTACTGTGTTACGACAATAGTAACTACTATCATAATATGAAACTAAAAAGTGAAAAATAAATATTGTTAAAAAAAACTCACTTTTAAAGCACATCGAACTAAAAAGTTAAAAATAATTTTTAAAATAAGCTTAAAACAATAATGAACGAAAAATACTAGTATTATTGTGATAAAAGCGTGGGTGCTTTGTGCCATATTTTTCGTATATTGAGCGCCCGACGCTTAGTTTTTATTATAAAGGGAAATTTGACTAAGACTAATTGACCTGGTTTGTATTCTAAGTGTTTGTGTGATAAATCATAGTTGATTTTCTGCGTTTTGAGCTTTTATTATTATGTCTGGTAGTTTCATTACAACATTATGTAAGACTTCCAGCACTTTCTTTAGGTCATTTGACAGAGGCTGAGGGATTATTTTGTTGTCTATAGGCTGTGCAGCATGAAATCCATGCATTAAATAAAATGGCGAAAATCCAGTTGTGGACTGCGGAGTAGTGTTGTAGCTAAAAGAAATAGCTGGTAGGTAGTGTGACCATCTATTCTAATTGAGATTGAGGCGAGTAGGCTGAACTAAACTTCTGTTTGATGCCTAAGTTGTCACAAATTTGTGCCAGTTCCTTATTTTTGAAGTGAGTTCCTCAATCACTTGTTATAGATCGAGAGCAGCCCCATTTGAAGATTAATTTGAAAAGTAATTTTATGACAGACTCGCCGTCTGCAGAGCGAACTGCTTTGGTGAAAATATACTTGGTCATGTTGCAAGCTGCTACTATTACGTGTTTCTTTCCATTACTATTGCATAGTGGCCCGAGAAAGTCAATAGTTACCCTAGGCAACGGAGTTCCATCTATGACTGGGATAGGCTGTAATAATCCTGTAGGTTTCCCTATGGCTCTCTTGTTGATTTGACATGAGTGGCATGATTTGATGTAGGCTGCCGTGTCTTTCGAAAGAGAAAGCCAATAATACTTTTGCTGTAGCTTATGTATAGTCCGTGATATACCTGCGTGTCCTGACGTTGGATTTTTGTGGTATGCATTTAATATTCTAGTAGTAACTTCCTTGGGTACTACCAGTAAGTTATAGCTGCCTATATTTTGATTATATGATTTAAAGTATAATACGTTACATATTATGGTGAATTTTCGTGGTAGTCTATTTGTTTTCTTATCTGGTTCTTTGCCTTCTAAAGCGTTTCGAATTGATAAGCAAAAAGGGTCTTTTTGTTGCTTTGCTGTAATAGAAAATTCTTTCTCTTCTGTGGCTGATAACTCTTGAATATTGCCAATACATTGAACTTGAACATTCGGTTCGTAGTCATTCTCATATCCAAATATTGCCAAGTCTATTATGTGTTCTAAAGAGTATCTAGATAGTGCATCTACCACCACATTATCTCGTCCTCTAGTAAATACTATTTTGAAGTCGTAATCTCAAAGTTTGATAATTAAGTGGGATATACGGGCTGACGAATTTTTTAAGCTGCGGTAATATTTTAAGCTAATGTTATCACTATATACCGTGAAATGTTTGGCGTAAAGGTACTCTCTGAAGAATTCGATAGCAAAGGTCAAACCTAGAAGTTCTAGCGTAGTAGATCTGTAGGTTTTTTCCAATTCTAACAGCTTACGAGAGGCGTATCCTATGACTCTTGAAATGTTGTTTTTGTCTGTTCTAGCACTCCACCTAGCCCTCGAATACTTGCGTCAACGGTCAAGCTCGTTAGTCTATCATCGTTAAAGTGTGCTAGAATAAGTTTTGATGTTAATAAGGTTTTCAACTGTTCAAACGCTTCAGTATGTTCTTGTTGCCAGTTAATTTTCTCGTATTTTTTTGTTTTTGTTAATTCTGTGAGGCAATTAGCGACCTGTGCGAACGATTTTATATGTCTACGGTAAAATGAACAATGTCCTAAAAAGCTTCTAACGTCTTTAACCGTTTTGGGGCCGGGAAAGTCCGTTATGGCTCTTATGTTGCGGTCCAACGGTGTTATACCGTCGCGTGTTATCCGAAAGCCTAATAGGTCTATTTAATCAGAGAATAATGTGCATTTAGTTGTTTTTATTTTGAGTCCAATTTTGTCAAGAATTTTAAATACTTTTTCGAGATTTTCCAAGGCTTCTGGAAAACTCTTTCCGAAACATGCTAGGTTATCTATATAAATCACAAGTTCATATAAAAGTTTTGAAAAAGCATTGTTGACTATTCTGCTAAATATTGCTGACGAGTTGCGAAAACCCATTGGTAATCAGCAAAATGTCATTAAGCCACACGCTCTGGTGAATGAAAGTAAATGTTGACACTCTTCTTTAATAGGTATTTGAAAAAAACTATTATTAAGATCTAGGCTTGAAAAATATTGTGGGTTTTTTAGTGCTCTGAACAAATCTTGAGATCGTGGAAGTGGTTAGTTGTCAAGTTCAACTCTTTCGTTTAAGTCGTTGTAGTCTATTACTAGACGATGTTGATCTTTTTCTTTCTTTTTGACGAGAAAAGCGTTTGCTGCATATTTTGACATGGCGTGTTTAATTATTCCTACGTCGAGTAATTTATCTAGTTCTTTTTTCAAAATGTCTCTTTGTGCGGGGGATACCCTATGTGGAGCATTAAATTTTGGTTCTTTTACATTTTCCTTTAGTTTTATCTCACATGGCGGTACTTTTGCTGGCTCTAATCTAGATGCGTCTGTGGAAAATACGTGTAAGTATTTTTTCACTAGATCAACTACTTTAGCGTGTTGTTCTTGGGATAAANGATCAACTACTTTAGCGTGTTGTTCTTGGGATAAATGCGATAATATCTTAATAGGCGTGTTGTTATTGTCGGTTAATTGCTCTTTAATTGTTTCGTTATGCATAGCTGTGTGAACAGTTGACAATGATGTTGTTTTGTCCTGTATCATCGTTTCTGTATTTGGGTGGCCGTGGCTCGTGGCATTAGCTACTCCAATTTCATTGATTATCAATTGCATTATCGTTTTTTATGCCCTGTTAACTATGCTCCACGTGGAGCTGTACTGACTGAATAAGTTTTTTTAATGGTAGGAATTCGTTTATCTCTACTATATGCTGCGGTATGTACTGCGATGTTTTTGTAGTCAGCTTGCCGGGCCGCCAATGAGTACCATTATTTACATGATATAGCACCTCAAAATTTCGATCACCTGTTCCGTATATTACTCCGTATTTGTGTTTTTCAGTATAAATGTACGTGTCCATAGAATAGTGATTTAATATGCTGGCTATTTCTTCATCTGAAAACCAATAGCCTGGGACGTGTTTTATTTCTAATAACACAAATAAATCACAAAGTGTGATTTTTTTTTTGTTTAGATGAGATAATTGTATTGCAGATTGCATAAAATGCGCAATAGTTGTCTTCCGCAAAATTTTCGCCCAATTTATATTTTTCGAAGACTTTCCGTAGTTTTGCTAAACGTGTGTTATCAGCAAATTTATTCTGTTTGGCTATTTGTGTTGTGAGAGTAGAAATAACGTTCTTACTGTTTACGTTATTTGTATTGTTTTTTTTATTGCTGCTTGGTCGGCGTTGTATATTTTCGTAGTTATAATATTATTTATAATCATCAAATTTTAATTAAAGTTAATATGAGTATTATTATCGAATAGAAATTTGTTTCCCATTATAAGCGAACTTATTAAGTTATTTACAACATAGACGACTACATCAAACTGCTCGTTCTCAATGACGATTTGAATAATAGTTTTTCCTATTAAATTCAAGGGCTTGTTATCTGCTCCGTTTATTAGCAAATTTTCAACCTTTTTTATGTTGTAATCTCTAGCTAATTCTAGTAATAATTGTTATTATTACTGTAGAGTTTTATACTTATTGTTATAAAAGATCTCTACAAAGATTAAAATAAACATACCTATAGGCATTTATGAACCATACTACACTTGTTCTGATATAAAAATGTTAATATTACAAGAATATGCCAATATTAATAAAACATATTATGTATTACATATGTATATTAATTTTTAATTTATATATATACAGGGTGATCAAAATTTAGTAAGACGCTCATTTCCTCAGAAAATATTGAGATTTTAATTTTTATTATAGAGAAAAAATATCAAGTTCAAAAAACTCTACAATAATATGTAGTCAAACCATTATTTTTTTCGTCCCTTCAAGGATTTATAATTTTCTTAAATGGGAACCCTTATTTTTAACTTTATAATATGATAGAAAAAAAAATTACAAACAATTTTGTCCTTATAATTTTTTTTATAAGATTAACCGTTCGTCTATTACAGCTTGTTTAAGTTAAGTGATTTTAAACCAAATTTCTATTGTCATTTTTCTGTATTAAATACAGAAAACATTATTTTTATTTGCTGTTGCATAAACCAAATTTTATTGATCAAGTTATGACAGGTAAATTGGGTGTAAAAATTTACTACGCACTAAATGAATGATAACAATAATAGATTCAAACCGGGTTTTCGGTGTATTATTAATAGCTAAGTCTATGGTTTTGTAAGACTAACGGATCTAAAAAAATAGCGGTTGTATTGCCACCGAATTTATGAAACGTAANACGGATCTAAAAAAATAGCGGTTGTATTGCCACCGAATTTATGAAACGTAATAAATGACAATATTTTTTCTGGAAGTCAAAATCTTTAAACAATTACAACCGTTTATGTTGTAAACGGTTGTTTGGATAAAAAAAATTAAAAGAACAAAATTTTTTGTAATTTTTTTTTCTATCAAATCAAAAATAGTAGTTCCCATTTAAAAAAATTATAAATAAACATTTTTATCCCTGAGGGGAAAAAAAAAATTTATTTAACTTCATATTATTGTAGAGTTTTATAAACTTAATAATTTTTCTTTTTACAAAAATTTTAAATTCTCAATAGTTTTTGAGAAAATAAGTTTCTTACCAGATTTCGATCACTCTCTATATATATATATATATATATATAAATTGTATTCTTAATTATTCTATTTTAATATTATTTTTAGAATGTTTTAATTATTGACACCAATAAATGTTCTTGTTCTATTATAAACCCAACAGACAGTTCAGCACCTCCAAAAACATTTACGTTTGATGGTGTTTACGGCGGTGATTCTAATACAGAGCAGATATACAACGACATTGCATATCCCCTGGTTGAGGTAAGTAAATTATATTAGATTTAACAAAAATATTATTTTAGTTTCGATGAGAAGGTATTGGTTTTACTATGTGTTTTTTTTTTTTTTTTGTGTCTCTTACCACGTTTTCTCAGCTCTCACCGAACCGATTTCTTTCAATGATACGTCAAAAGATCACAAATCGTATCTAGTCGAAGACATTACCCTCAAAAATTGAAAAAATTCCCTCGTTCCCCGTAAATGGGGGAAACCTCCAAAAAAATTACAAATTTAAAAATCGCTAATTTTCAAATTTTTTTCAATTTTTTTTACTTAAAATTGCTATAACTTTTTCAAAAATGAACTTATCAATATAATTTTTTTTTTATAGATGCTTGATATCTTTATCTATCATTTGGTATATATTTTTTGTAAATTTGACCCTTTATCTGCCCACAGGGGGGGATTTAAAATGTCAACTTTTTCATAAAAAAATTACTTTTTCAACTTATATTTTGAAAATGTTCCGGAAGGTTTTACACTTATATATATATCTTAAATTAAAGCTAATGTAATATACTTTAAGTTGAAAAAAAAAAATTTGACCTCTGGATTTATCTTCATGGTGAAAATGGCTACCAAATGCTATTTTTGTGTGAAAATTCTCGATTTTATAATTTACATCTTTTACTTTAAAGTGCTATAACTTTTTAAAAAATGTATGGATCAATACAATTTTTTTATGAGAAGTAGTTTATTATATACATCTTTCATTCGACATACTTTTTTTTTAAATCANATAGATCTTTCATTCGACATACTGTTTTTTTAAATCGGACCATTTCCCTATATACGGGGGTGCTTCAAATATAAAAAATGCATATAGAAAGTAGAACTTTTTCAACTTAACTTAAATTAAAGATAAGGTAATATACTTTATTATGAAAAAAAAAAATTTTGACCTCTGGACATGTCTTCGTGGTGAAAATAGATATCAAAGTTATTAAAAAATTAACTTTATAATGCTAAAACTCATTAAAAAGTGTATGGATCAACACAATTTTTTTATGAGAAATAATATTTTTTAATAATCTCTTTTTCATTCGACATACATTATCTCAAGATATTAATAAGGAACTAGCAGATCATGNTCTTAATCAGGATATTAATAAGGAACTAGCAGTTTATGAAGCTTTTGGAATAATCCACCAATTTTTTAAAATTAAACACTATCTAAAGATTTGCATCGAAGCGTTTATTTTTGATAGTGATTTTAATCACTGTCAGATATCATTATACTTGATTCAACTGTTAGGGGCTTGTTTAATAGTTGAGGATCTTGGTCAAAACCAAGAATCGGAAGCTACCCGACGTCTGCCCAAATATCGTCCCTATCTCCTTAAATGAGTTTTAATTGCCTGAAGGAGACACAGGCAATCGTGTACCTTAGTTACAGGGGATAGATTATTAAATAAAATTAGACTATTGTTTTATGTCAACGACAAAGTAAGGTTATATTTAGATGTTCAGTAAATATAAGTTATATGTAATGTACAATACGTCTGACCTGAATCCTAGTACAGTTGGTTAGTAGGTATATCCAAGTGAGACGGAGTTGGTTGGCTATGATGACAATTGGCGATAGACGGGTCGTTGAATAAAACAAGTTAAGTTATAAATAATATAAATAAGACGAAAGTAATAATATTGAAAACTATGTCTATAACGGCCACTCAAACACAACTGCCCTTTGTTAGTTCGACGTCAGTAGCTCCGGGCTACAGACGAGTAGAATTGTCATATCAGCATCTCCCTCTATGCTAATTAATATGTATTACGAATTAAATAAATAGAAATAAAACGTGTGTAATATAAGTGGTAAGAACATGGTAATAAATGTTCTTACATTACCCTCTCCCCTATTAAGGGTTCGACTCTGAACCGTATAAAAGGTCAAAATATTAAGAAAAAGAGAAAAGAAATAAGAAGAAAAAAAAAAAATTTGTCTAATAATGCTTAAAAAGCTTTTAAGTTATGGTTCTCTTTAAAATTAGGGGTGGGAACCTTGTTATGTTCACGAAACTTCTTGTAATCTTGTATCTTCATGCGTTCTTAAATTGTTGTTTTCTTACGTAATTAGTTGTGGTATTCGTTTTAATTGATAGTGGTGATATTCATAGTATATATTATAATTGCCTCCTACGACTTATTCTGTTGTTCTCGAAGTTCGTTA